CCTCTCACATGAAATCTCGACGATTCCGAAAATGTCAAGCATTTCAAAACTTCCAAAGATTCCAAAGTTCTGCCATTTTGGGAATTGCGAAAATCGCCCCAAAACTTGGTTTCCGAAGATGTTGGAATGCTTGCGAGCTTTAGAAATTTGGATCTGCTTGCACTCCCAAAATTTGTCCCCGAACTGTCTTTGCTCTGCTTTGCTCAGGGGTCGAGGAAGGCAGGCAGTCCCTCCCCTCCGCTCGTCAGAGCGGCCCCATCCATCATTTTGATTAGATGGGCTTTGCTGCATTGGGGCTTGTGTCCGGAAAGGGTTGGTCCCCGTGTTTGGCCACCAAAGGTGCCAATGAGAAACGCCCCACTGCCAGATGGTAACTCGAGAGCAGCCTTCCACGGGCGCCAACTTCGGTGGTGGGCGTGTGCGCTCTGTGCTAGAGTGTAAAAAACCTACCTTCCTGACCCCGAATAAGATGCCTAATCCCTGCGTAGCGCTGCCTCGACCGCCGCTCAACCCTGAAGCCTACCTCTCGCTCCAGAGGGGGTGCCCTGTTTCTGAAAACGGTTAAGTCAAGTGTACCCTTCTGTGGCGCGGGTTACCAGGAAAGTCGCTCCCCTTTGGTAGGTGCAGTCAGAAAGGTCTAGCAAAAGCACCAGCACGGTGCTTAAGCGTGTTCGAGCTGCTTGAACCAATATGTAGCTAATTTGAGTCGAAGATTGACTTAAATTTGCTTGGCTATTTGTAAAACCATGTAGTTGTTTTTGAGAATGTCAACGGTTAATAGCCGATACAGTAGCACAGGCTCTAGAATGCGTTCGATACCTACTTGGTGTCAAGTACGGAACTATACAAATGCAAACATGTCTAGTTACTCGTTACTTAGGTCAGCATTCGCCAAATAGGTGTTTAACACTTGAGGTTTGCAGGCGGCGTCCAAAACCTCATTTTCATGTATCTACAATCTCGGAGACATCGGCGCATTGTTCATAGTGCACACAAGTACATGCAACTCATCTGTAATGGGCTTGCAGTCAATACTCGGTCATATATAGTAAGATTGTTAACCGAATCCACCGACTCTTAATCATCACGCAGTGCAAGAAGCTTGATAGCCCACTCAGAGCCAATTAAATTCCAACACCCTGTAAATACAGGTCAATGATGTGTGTGGGGCATCTAACTTGTAATTGTGCGATTGCTCCTGTGGTGTTTGAAGTTGGTAGTTAGCTGAAAACCTACTCTTGGGCTGGCATATGCTTCAAGCATCCGATTTACATACGTTTATGTGTTTCACGACTACAGACTGCTTTATGGCTAAGCTCTATGTATATACCTATTCATTCACTCGTTGATGTTCAATGTTGACATGTAGCTATGTCTACTTCCCATTCCACGACAAGTGCTTCGAAAGTATACTCATCCAACACGTGATGCCAACACAAACTTCATCTTCTTACAAAAACCTTCAAGTCTATATGACAATAAACGGTTGTCCAGTCATATTCATTATAAGATCACAAGAACATGCCGAAATATTGAAGCAATATAGCCGGTTGTTATCCAGTGTAGTTCAACACGTCATTTACGCTATTTCTTGGATGTCTGGCAACATTGATTCAATAGCATGTAAGCCATATTCGGACACGCATTACTCAAGCTACTTATGGATATACTGATATACCATTTTAGGATCTGGTCACTGGCGAACCCTCGCAACGAAGTACGCGTTAGGTACTATCTAAGAATGAATTAGGACTGAACTTCTGCATGGTCTTTAATCTCGTTTTTGCTGCAACGACTAGCAACCATTAGATGTTGATGAACATGTTCTCGGTTGTCAATTTGCGCAGACTGCAACTGCGCATATTCACTCTCACAGAAGCCGTAACACATGCAGCGTAATTGCTACTCGAGTTGAAGATCGCAGGCAATATGCCGGCAAATATTCCACACGTACATACCATGGCATAAGAGCAGACGAAAGGACAAGCGAAGCATGACGTGTACACACTTGTAGGCAACAATAACGGGCACGGAATTTAGCGGTACTTGCATTGCAGGGCTTCAGGCTTCCATCCGCTACAACACAGGAACACACATATGGCCGACGTTGGTCCTGGGGGGTTCCCATGTATGTACGTACGTGGGTAGGTAGGTATGTATGTGATTATGCCGATCTGCACCTCCGTTTGTGCGTCTCTGTGGTTTTGTAAATAAATACGTATAAATACATATATGTTTATACACAGATTCATGGCGCCTTATGGGCGAATACAGGCCTGGCCTCGCCGCGCTGGCGACTTGCAATGCCAAGAAGCCTGGGACTACGACCAGTCTTTCTCCAAGCTCTTCACAATTAAGATCTAAGAAAGCTGGACTCCTGACGGTAGGCATGCCGTGACGAAGGGATTCGTGTGGCCAGAGTAAGAGCGTGTGAGTGCACGACCACATACGCGCCTGAGCACCTGCAGCCCAAAAGCGCGTAGCGAATGGAATGCGAAAGTCCGTGGAGCGACTGAGTGAGTTCAGAAAGCATAAGCCGCTGCTGAACTGTCGCGGATGCAGGTGCAAACATGCGCGTGAATCAGCCTGCTGTGTACAAGTGCGTGGGCTGTGTGGCATGCGTGGTCTCTGTTGTGAAATGGTGTGAATATTTGGCATGTATGCGCGGACAACGGAAGCATGCATCTTTAAATCCTTGCAGTTCAAATGTTCGCCGTGCACAAGAAGTCAGCAGACAAAGCCCGAGCGGCAGCGCAGCGCTCATCACCAACACGGCCAGGCCTCAGCTGCAGGGCCTCACTTACCTTTGCATTCCACGTCCACGATGGACTCCCATTCCGAAAATATCCCGGGGCGAGTGGCCGATGATGGAGACATCACGGGGGCTCAGGAGTTCCTCGTCGAGGCGGGATTCCGGCACGGACTGAACAAGCTTCAAAAAGCCAGCGCATTCGCGGCCAAGACTCGGGTAGACATGGGCAGCAGTACGTCAGCACAGTTGCCAATCTGCAGCAACGGACCATGCATGCCTCGCCGCATCGCTGAACCCATGAAAGCATGTAGAGCGCGCCAGGTACTTGAAGGTGCGCTGAGATTCAGGAATGCATCGGTACCCCGTAAGCCGTTCGTTCAGAGTAGCTTTTCTCTCTCATTCGAGCTTTCCTGGTGCTGTGAAAAGTTTCTTAAGGCTTTGGATTTAAGCATAAGTCTGTTCTAGTGCCGTTGCATTTGCCGCCGTGCACTCCCACTGAATCAGTTCATTAATCCTTGGACACTTCTTGCGCAAATGGATGAGGCTGGTACCGAACATTCAAGAACATCAACACCTACCTGAAATGCCATGCTCCTGAAAAGAGTGTCTACAGAGACGTCCCACTCTTAGCCATGTAAATGGTCACATCGCAGCTGGCCTCGAAGAATTCAATCTGGTGCTAGATATGGCAAAGTTCAACTGGACTATTACCCAATAATCCACTTTCCGGCCAGACGTCAGTACAACTCCATGGTTCAAGATGCTTTTGAGTTTCCTCTTCTTCGTGCTACCATGCCATCCCATTCGCCACACACCACACACTATTATTGCTACTGTCCTTACCGATGCCACGATCACTACTCCAGCGACTGTTCATGCATATCCTGTTTTCAGCTTTGGCTTTCAAGCAACTAGTGGTACATTCCGCCGTTATGGCTTGATCTTCAGGGCAGCTCGAGCCACAGTGGCTTGCAAACAGGCTCTCCTGCAAGCAGGCTTTCCAAGATTCTCAAAGGGGGGAGTTTTGGTGCAGCCGGTATACCATGTGGGCGGCCTTCTCAAGACAAGGATGGAAGGCAAAATCTTGTAAGGTCGGGATTACACCGGTTTGCGGTGCCTGAGCTTTTGTAACGCTATGCCAGTAGCACCAGTACGAGTACCGGTGGTGTTGATACCAATAATTAAAGGTAGTGCCCGCCAGAATCAATAGTAGCAGTAGCAGTAGTCACGATATGCATGTAGCTGCGCATGAAGTTGCAAACGCCCCGAGGACAGAATCCGACTAAAGTCTAACGGCAAGTGGCACGGAGCTCCAAGGGTTCTTTCAGCCCTTCCCGCGCCGCCATCTTCTAGTTCCTCTCTTCCTCTTGCAAACACAGCGAAAAAAGGATCCGAAAACGGAAGAATCAACACAAAACAGATTCCAGATGTCCATAGCCATTTCCCCATTGTAGAAAGCTGGTCCCCGAAATAAGGCTAGATCCAATAATTATGGGAAACACGGTCTCAATCGCATCCCCGGTAAGATTGATCAGAGGTGCGAATAACCGATAAGGGGGGACAAACAAAGTCTGATTGGCTACGTTTCCCCTGGCAGGGTTGCTTTGCGGACTTGGCATTGCTGGTGTCCTGGGTTGGTTCGACCCGAGTCATGCAGGGCATAGTCACAGAGCAGCCGTTTGATGCGGCACATCGCTTCCAATTCTCAGCCGCTGGTTGAAAACCGTCCCCGTCGATCAACAGATACTGGGATTCACATCTCAACATATCTCAACACGGCTTCGGCCAGCTCGCAACTGATTGGGCATGAGCTTCGGCCTAAGAGTATGCACGGAACACCTGTTTATCTGGCGCGAGAGGTCAGCCGACAAGACTGGTGATCTGACTGTACAATGACACCGGGAGCCAGGAAGAGCCTGCTAAACTCGTCCTGGCAAAAGATGTTGCAGAGTCTTCTGCTTCTGCCCTCGCCGGCTTGACCGCACTGGAAACGATTTCGAGAACCAGGCCTTTAACAGATTATGTCATCTTGTTGCTGCATGGCTTCATGAAAGCATAGAGGTTTGCATCGGCTTCGCACGATGTCATGCTGGCAGAATATCGATCACCTTCATCATGCCAGCACAACCTGCCATCCACGGATGCTTCAGTGCGGAAGTTTCCGTAGCTACGATGCACCGCCAAACAAGGAGATTTTACATTCTTGGCTTGAGGGTGTCCCTTCGTGCCTTAGTCAAGCAGTTTCATCACATTGTACTGCCGCGGTCAGAACATTCCATGACTTGACTACGGCCGGAGCTGAGCGTAACGTTGAACTTGAGCTCTGCGCGGCTGTCAGTATCAACCTTGGCGAACATTGATGCTCTGGCGAATCTTTTAAACAGCATTGTGGGCCATCGGTTCTCGCCACTCGTCCATGGAATGCTCTTTATGTCCAAATGTGCCATCGCCACTCAACATCATTACACTCATCATAGCGATGTCGCCATAGTCATCGTGACGGATGATGACTATTGCTGTGCGACTGCTCTCGGTCCCATGTAGAATTCAACAATTTACCATCTTTATTCCGGCAGCCTCTGTAGCAGCCGCAGTAGCAAAGGCAGATGCAGAAGATGGAGTCCTCGTCATCGTCGTCGCCGTCGTCAACCAAAACTTCTTTTACTTCTACTTCTACTTCTACTGCTACTGCTACTTCTACTACTACGACTACGGCTACTGCTCCTGCTGCTGCCAGTGCCACTGCGACTGCGGCTGCTACTGCTACTACAACTACTTCCTATTCCTACTCCTTTTCCTACTCCTGCTCCTACTCCTACTCCTGCTACTCCTACTGCTACTGCTGCTGCTGCTGCTGCTACTACTACTACTACTACTACGACGACCACTACTACTACTACTACTACTACTACTACTACTACTGTCACTACCACCTCTGCAGTCATCATGCACATAGTAGTAGAGGTTTAGGGCCATTTCCTGCGCGACTAGGCATACAGAATGCTGCAGATGTACTGCACTGGTCCGCATCGTGCAAGCTTCTTGGAGCACTGGGCGCATCGAGATGATGTTCTGCCGACTGAGACCTTGGGACATCGCGTTCACTACTCCGTCGCTGGCGAAGTGTACCACTTGGACGTGAAGTGCACTGGAATCCGAACGGTGCACAAGGACCGCATGAAGGAGACAACAGTGATCGACGCGATCAAAAACCAACGTTTATATGTCTCCGACACGCCCTTCCTTCAAAAATACTCTGGTTCACTTTCGGGGAACTGTCAAGACCGGAGCCATCTCAAGCTCATTCAGACGCAATCCGAGGCGGTCCTTATAATTGTGGATTCAGTTGCCAGCAATCAGATTAGGAGTGGTCTTGGCCGGACGCGCTGCGTTAGGTGCCTATATGCCTAGCTACACACCGAGTGTGTGCGAATGCCCTAAACACCCTCAATCCTATACCCTAAACCCCGAACCCTAAACCCTAAACCCTAGACCCCTAATCCCTGAACCCTAAACCCCTGAACCCTGAACCCTAAACCCCTAAACCCTAAACCCCGAACCCTAACCCTAAACTCCGAACTCTAAACCCTAAATCCCTAAACCCTAAACCCCGAACCCTAAACGCTAAACTCCGAACCCTAAACCCTAAACCCTAAACCCTAAATCCCTAAAGCCTAAACCCCGAACCCTAAACCCTAAACTCCGAACCCTAAACCCTAAATCCCTAAATCCCGAAACCCTAAACCCCTGAACCCTAAACTATGGACTTTGAGACTTCTCTCCCAAGTTCGAAAAGAGCCCGGAAGCTGCCCCTAAAACGGAAACCTCCCCGTCCCTACGGTTGATGAAGGGTTTAGGGTTTATAGGGGTTTAGGGGTTTAGGGTTTAGGGCTAAGGGTATAGAGTGTGACGGTTGGTGATATCAATCCTGTACCCATAGTTAGTCAGGAATATACCATGATTCCCATAGTTTCGGGTCCTTAACGTCATGCAGGATTTAGCTCTTGAGGGTACAGGGTTTAGGGTTGAGGGTTTAGGGTTGATGGTTGAAGTTGAGCCCGAAACTCATGACTTTTCGCCCGTGCGATCGAAGGACTCTCTTGCTTTAGTCTGCGGTGCACCTCGCCAACCGGTCTGCGACCTAGAGGACATGGGGAGGCCTTATGTTGCAAACTTTGCTGGTTTCCTTGAGAATTCCAAAGCCTGTAGTTGGAGAAGCAGGTGTTGTTAGCCATGATGCTGCTGACGGATAGCATTGCACAGTGTATCGCATGACTCGTTTTGCCCGTCAGCCACGACTACACTGGTGGAAAAGTATCAGGACATTAAAGATGAGATCATTGCTGACTGTTTCAGAGGCCCCCTTATGATGAATGAACAGATTGAGTATCGACTTGAGTATTTCATTCGTTTTGAACTACAGCCCCGACACTGGAAAAACTTGAGTTGCGGCCAGTAACCCACTGTGCTTTCGAAAGTGCCCGACTGGATTCTGTCCCAGGCGTGGTGCTGTCCCACTCGGTCTGTCCAAGTAATCTTAGGGTTTAGGGCTTCGAGCCAGGGTTTAGGCTTTAGGGTTTAGGCTTTAGGGTTTAGGGTTTTTGGGCTTTAGGGTGTAGGGTGTGGCCCAACAACAGGCAGCAGGTGCCAAATAAAGTCCTTCAAAGGGCCAAATTGCAGAGTTCTTGACTGCGTCGGCCCGTATCAATCGGGACCACCTTGGCTTGACTGCTCAATGTGACCACGTCATTGCCTCCGGTGCTAGGATGAACCGATCTTCTCATAAGGTGTTGGAGCAGGAAGACTGCTATGACAACACCATACGTCTAGTCTGACGCACGAGGCCCTGCTTCTTCGCCATATGTGGCGATGGTCTGTTGCGCGCGGGCGTGCAATCTCTTGGAGAACGCTTCTGTCTGGGTGTGCATGTGCGTGGAACCACTTTATGCTTGCCGTGCTCGGTGGCCAGGTCTTTGCCAGTTGAAAGGTCTCCGGTGCTGTCCTAGCAGCCTCACAAGATTGCATAGTATGTGTTACCACCCAAATAGTCGCCCCCCTCAACCGAAGTATTTACTAAGCTTGCCTACTTAGAGGGTCATGGGACTTAGTAGTTAGGGTATTTAATGCTAGGCAGCCATAGCTATAATTGTTTCTAGTACTAGTTCCCATTCAGGTACTTATAGCGTTACTTGCTACATCTCTTGATCCTGCGGGTACTATGTGACGACAGCATCCAAGTCCTCAGCCTGACCCTCGAAGGTCGAGGTTGTT